AGCAGCAGCAGCAGCAGCAGCAGCTAATGTAAACTGAATGCTCTGAAAGTGTCAGGCCCAGGGCTAAGTGCTGGTCTTGCATTATCTCCTTTTGTCCTCAGATTTGTTTTCTTACTCCTTTTTGTGGATGAAGAAACCCCAACTTCCTAGGGTTGTGACATCCCTAGTAAATGGCAGAGTCAGGACTGTGAACTCTGGCTGCATGACTGAGTTCATGATCCCACACTGTTTTAGAGATGGCCCTTTGCCTCTTTTGACCAGAGTCACCTGGACTAAGCTTGCTATCTTGTTTTCACATACCCTCCTTCTTATTGCTACTGTCCCCAACCACAGCAGGTACATCAAAGGCCCCCAGTGCTAAAGACTCACCCAAGGAAAGGCCCAGCCTCTGTTCTACCTGTACTACATCAGGTCCAGAACCCCACTCCACTCCACCCCAATCATGTGGATCCCAAGCTTGCCATGGCTAAAAAATAAACAGAACAATCAAGGCCCTGTCTTTGCTTTGTTGGTACTGGCAACTGGCTGAATCTTACCACTAATGCTTCAATGGCTGGGCAGGATACCACCAATGGGCTGTCACAGCTGAGAGACTGAGGGAGCCAGAGCCTGATGCAGACCTGACCCAGAGAAGGGTGCAATACTGTCTTGCTGGGATACAAAGTCACACTCTCCAACTGCTGAAATAATGACTAGGAGCTTGGCTGACCCAGATGAGGCTTGATGCTTGACTGGGCTGCCTAGAGCCCACCAGTGGAGTGTCCTGGACAGGAATTCATATCCTAGCATTCAGCAGTGCCTTCATCCCTCCTGTATCTACTGCCAGGCTCTGTGGAAACATGTCCTTTATTCAGCATAGAATAAGCAATTACTATGCACCCAGTCCTGCGATGACATAGCTGGGTGGAACAGACACTGCCCTGTGCAGGAGGATCACTGCAAGAGGAGAAGGCAGATCCACAGGCAGGCCAGCCCACCTGCCACCCTCCTTGAGGTGGCAAGGAGGTCAGTCTTATGGATTACGGGCTGGGGAAGTATGGGCTCTGGAGCCCGACTACCGAAATTTGACCTTCCCCACTCTACTATTTCTTTTTCTTTTTCTTCTTCTTTTTCTTTTTTGAGAGGTTTTTGCTATAGGGCGCATGCGCTCGCCAGAAAGACAGAGAGAGAGAGACAGAGAGACAGAAAGTGAGAAATCACCCCCCAGGGGGGATGGTCACGCCTCAATCCCTTCTCCTCCATTCTCCTCTCAGGATCTTGGGCATGCACACACATGCACCCGGGCGTGAGTTTAAGCCACCGGGTCTAGGACTCAAACCACGGTCAACTACATAGAAGTCCAGCGACATAGCCATTACGCTAACTGCTGGTCCCCCCCCCCCCACTCCACTATTAATGAAATGAACTACTCTGGACCAGTGACCTGTCCCTCAGTTTCCTTATTTGTGAAAATGGATAATAAAGATGCTAACCTCAGAGGGTTGTGAAAATCAAATGAGTTCACATGTACAAAATGCTTAGCCTTATCTGACATTTAGTAAGCCTGCAGTAGATGTGAGCAATGATTATTATTTAATTGTTGCCTGTAGGGTGTTTGTTTCTTTGGCTGGACAATCACTTCCCTCGTTTGAGTCTTTTTTATTTGGGGGGAGGATCTGTAAAGGGAATAGCTATCATCAACAGAGCATCATTATTAGACTCAAAGAAGACAATGTTTGCAAAATACCAAAGTGTGTCTGCCAGTCAGTAGATGTTCAATAGATGCATATTCCCATTTTTTCATTTTTATCTTACTATGCTCTCCTGACCAGCCTCTCAGCTCATTCGAGAGTCTGATTAAACTCTATAATTTTCAGAGATAGCAAGTTAAAGTCAGTGAATCAACGAAGGGATGAACAAATGGGAGGTGAACCTGTAAGTGATTGGATAAGTAGAAGAGACATTTTTTGGGTGTCTTCTCAGAAAGATTTCAACCCTCTATACCATGAGTCCCTCTTTCACATACTCACACCTTGGGGCTTTTGCAAAAGATGGACTTTTCCTCCTTCCCTTGTGGTGACGTTAACCCTTACCTGAAGCTCCTCTCTCAGTTTCAGGGTCACGTTAGGGCGTATTCCTCCTGTGCCCATCCCCCACCCCCTCCTGCCTCTATGCACAACCTGAAATGGGTCTTAGCCTATGGTCATAGCTCGAACGACAAAGTTGTAATTTTACACTTCTTAATGCATTACTTTCATTAACTGGTGCTGCCCCCACTAGGCTGTACGCCCGTGGGAACAGGGACAGTGTATTTGTGTATTCCCAGAGCTTAGCAGTGTACCTTCAATAGCTATGCATTGAAGAAATGCTTGGACTCTGAGTGTGAACAAACCAACCTCTGTTTGCTGTATGTCTGCACCAGATCCCTTCTCTGTGCCCACCCAGTGCCCTGTCCTTGGGTCCTAGGAAGACTAGGCTCCAGTCTCCTCTCCTGTCGGTGAGTGGTGCAGAGAATGTGGAGGTGCCTCTGGTAAGTGGAGAGAGAGGAGTTAATCAGGCATACCTCTGTCACGATGGAGTCCTGGGTGCTGTTGTAGATCCAGCCATCCAGGCACGGCTCCGTGGCTCCCTGGGTGCCATTGAGCAGGCTGGTATTGGTCAGATGTACAAAACGGAGGCACTTCTCAGGCTTCCCATTTGGGTCTATGGGGAGCACCCATGGCCCTGCAGAAGCGTTAGGGGGTGGGCGACAGTAGTGGACTGGGGTCATGGCTGTGAAGATCTGCAGCAGGTGGTGGTTGGCCATGCCCAAGATTGGGAGGCTTAGTAAGGTCAAGCACAGGAACTGGAAGGGGCCCATGCTGCCCACGCGGTCCAAGATTTCGTAGAAGGTCATGGTGCTGGGAAGGCTGAGTCAGAGCTGTAGGCAAGGCACCAGATCAGAGAAAGGTATGTGTGCATGAGTGTGATGTGTGGGCCTATAGAGTGATGTGTAGGGAGGATGCACTCAGGTGTATGTGTGAGCACAAGTGTGTGGAGTTGTGTATGCATAAATGTGTAAGGATGTGAGGGCTTAGGTGTGAGTGTGGAGAGATGCAGGATCGTAGGTATAGATGTGTGTTCATGTGTGGACGAGGAGGTGTCTATAGCACCTGGGTATAGACAGAGGCGTCTTATGCTTTAGACTGATTCTTAACAGCCAGTGAGCTCAGGTGTGTGGCTGTGTGTGAGTGTGTATGTGCTCAGCTAAGCTGGTCACACATGTCGCATGTCTAGGGTAGTGCAGGCCACATAGTCGGGATCAAGGGGCACAGTTTTGGGTATTGGATATACAATACGGATGATGAGTGTGGGTGGGGGTCCTCCCTGTTGGCTCCAGACAGACACACAGGCCTGGCATAGCTCAGATTGCCTGCTCGCAACTCCAAACCCGGAGCCTCTGGCTTTTAGTCATTCCCTGGGGCTGGGCCCACCATCGGTAAGAGTCCAGGCAGGTCCAGAGGGCATTAGGGCTTGGCCAGTTGTGATAAGAAAGCAGGGCCTGGCTTTGGAAGCTTGCCAGACGTTCTGGGTGCCCGGACTTGGGGGCCCTCCATCCCTCCTCACCTGGTGGTTGGGTCTGGCTCTGGTGGGGCTGGTGGTCGATGTAGTAGAGGCCCCTGTTCTGTCCTAGAGTTCGGCAGCTGCTGTAGTTGGGCAGCTCGAGTCCAGCAAGCTATGTTTGTGCCTCCCCCAGGGGGGCTTATATAAGGCATAATCTGTTTCCCAGGCTAATGTTTGACTTTCTTTGGAGGATTAACGTCACCACCGGCAGGGAGAGTGCTGTTGGTGAACCCACCAAACCCAGCTCTTCTCTAAGGGCTGCCTCAGCAAAGGCTGGTGGATGCAGGGCAGGAGCAGGGCAGGAGCTGGGCAGGTAGCGTGGCTGAGCCTAGACAGGTTGCCAGCTGGATAGAGAGAAGTGCAAGCCAGGCAAGCTCACCTAAGGGAGAGTCTGGGAGCGGTTTGAACTGAGCCAGAGGGTCCAGGTTCCCTCTGAGTTGATGTTCTCAGACCTTAGAGCTGAGAATAACCAATGGGAGAGGGGCTACTGCCGGTGAGCAGGAATATTCTCACCATATCACCTCTCCTTGTCTGGGCCTCCTGAGTAGGGCCATGGGGATTCCCTTTCCAGGAGGTGATAGGGCACACTCAGACAGAACATGTTCCCTGCATCTGTTCTTGAGGTCTCAGGGCAGCCATCTCCTGGACCTCTGCGGTTTGAGTCTCTGACTCAAGTGAACTGCCTTCTTCCATTCTGCCTTCAATGCAGACTCTTTTTCTGATCAGCGGATTCCCTCTGGGCCCAATTGCAGCCCTTACTGTTTTATTTGATTCTCTGAATATTATTTTAGTTATGTAATAGTATGTGTTTCTTGCATGCAGTGTAGAATACAGATAAGCCGAATAGAAATGAGCGAAACGAAAGATCTAGTCTCCCCTGTGAGTGTTCTGGTGGATGTTCATCCAGCCCTTTCTTTGGCACAGACTTGAGCCTAAGACCTCATCTTCTAGGAGCCAACCTCAGCTCATCCTACCCTCCCAGTGCCCCATTACTATTCTAGAATTAAAATTAGGGTATGGAGGCAAAGAGGGATCAAGAAACTTAACCTACCATGCCATGTCTCCAGTCAGGAAGCAGCAGGGGATGGGCAATGAATCTCTAAGCCCACTTCCACCCCTAGGATCTACCATTTTCTATGGGCACTGTGCTGTATGGCCTCTACTTTTAGCGAATTCACCAGCCTGGTCTTCAACATCACCCCCGTCTACGTTTCACTCTCTGTATTTACTTCTGGGGTCCCGGGGAGTTGCTCTATTCCACTTGATCTGGGGGCTAAAAAGAGCTGGCCTTCTTGGTTGGGAAGGGGCTTCCCATTCTCCTGCAGAGCCCCCTCCTCCAATTAGAAGGCATAGCTCTTGGACTCAGGCAGGGCTCCTCCCTCTGAAGTCTCCTCTAGCCCTCCCCCACCCCTCCCCTCACTGCAGGGCAGGGTCAGCTGGTTAACCCAGGGGTCAGCCCCTCCTCCTTGCTTCCCACCTGGGCCCAGCAGTTATTGATGTTTTCAGAGTGGCCTGAGGCAAGGCAAGATCCGGAGTCATCAAAGGAGATTAAATTATGCTCCAAGGCAGCCAAAGGGTTGTTTTAGGAAGGTTTTCCACTCTGAGACTTGAGCTGCTCTGAGTCCCCCTGTTCTGGGCATTTTCTCTCTTCAAGATTTTCTGCTTCTTAATTGGCCTGGGTCTGTTCCTGTCCCAGTGGAATGTTGTTTGAAGGAGACTGGTGACTTCCCACTGAGGCTGCTGAACTTGAGCCAAAGCATACACATCCCAACTGCCTGGTTGGGGCAGCTGCTGGAATGGTGCCCCCAGACCCCAGTGGATCCGATTGAATTTGTGAGGCCTAAATTGAGGATATGGGGAACTGTGTGATGCACTTCTGACTTTGGACAAATCACTTCTCTCTAGGCCCTCTTGATTCTCTTCATTAAGTGACTCTTTTCTTTTTTTTTTTAAGCTTCAGAAACCTTTGTTCGAACAATATATTGGGCTCAGAAGATCAATATGTAAAGCAGACAACAGAGGTGCTCTGGCTAAAATGGAAGGAAAGGTGGCCAGAACTATGCTCCCTCTAGGGCCAGCCAGTGGTGTAGTGTGTAAGGTGCTGGATTCCACGGGGCTGACCATGTGGTTAGAGTCCTGGACCCAGCAGCTTGAAAAACATGTCAGGCACATGTGTGTGTGTGTGTGTGCCCAAGGTCCTGAGAGGAGAAGGGATTGTGGTGTGGCCATCTTCCCTGGGGGTGCCTTCTCACTTTCCCTCTTTTTCTCTCTCTTTCCACACGCATGCCCCCTATAGCAAGTAAAACAAACAAACAAACAAACAAAGAAAAAAAGAAAGAAAGAAAAAGAAAAAGTGTCTTTCTATCACTTCCCCCACCTCTCCTTTCACCTTTCCAGTGGCTAACTGCGCCAGGCTCTAGGGGATCCATCGCTTCTTACGTGCTATGATCCCAAATTCAATATGTTCAAAATAACTTTTTTTTAAAAAAGAAAATGTATGCATTTGAGAAATCTTACATGCTAAATGCATTTTAAATTTTGGATGTGGAAATAGATTTCTCTCTGTTTCCCTCCCCCTCTTCTCTCTTCCTTTTTATCTATTGTCTAAACTCTTCCAGAATATCCTCTAAGCTTAGTTGGATTCAGTCAATTTCATTTGTTCTCTTGCCTGGACATGTGTATTGAGCTGGAAGGACCTAAGAAATAATTTAGTCCAATGTCCTCAACTCATTGATGGGAAAATAAAATTCCGTGAGGGAAGGAACACAGGCCTGATCCTCGGCTTCTCTGACCATACCTAAATAGTAGGCAATATGGGGGCCAGCAGGTGGCATGGTGGTTAAGGTACTGGATTCCCAAGTGGCTGACTGTGGTTCAAGTCCAAGACCTGATAGTTCTTTCTTGATCTCTCTCTTGCCTTTTCCTGGTGAGCACATGTGCCTCACAGCAAATTAAAAAATGATAATGATAAATAATAATAAAATACAGGTATGCGCTCCAGTTTGCTTGTCAGAGGAGACAGCAGCACAGAGATAATGAAAGCACCAAGAAGACTGGCCTCAGTGCCATGGGAGAGGACCACACAGTTGCAGGGCCTTAGGAGAGGGAGGTAATGACTCGTTTAAGGAATCACATCAGGGTGGGTTGCCTGGAAAAGGTGGCAATTACATTGGGATTTGATGATTAGGGTGATTCATAGGTAAAATATGGGTGGGACCTGCCAACTCAGGGATGTTAGAGTAAGGTATGTGGGGGAAATGGGAGATAAAACGGATGCTCTAGCTTTGGTAAATTTCTCTTCCCACCCAGGGTGGGGCCTTGGTCTTAGGGGCTAGGACAGCTCTGTGAGTCTCAAGGGCCTGGTGATCCCTGGGTTACTCTGTCTCCTTGAGAGTGGGGGGTGGTGGGGAAGTTCTTGAGGAGCCAGGAGCTGAGTCATACTTAGTGGTACAGTCTGGTTCTCCTGTCCCTCAAAATGGTTCCTCTGAGACTTTGGAGCCCTTCAGGTGATGTTTGCTTGCCTGCCCACCATCGAGTAAGAGGTCAAGGCAGAAGCTGTAGCATTTGAAGTGTTTGGTAAATTCACAAGGGCCAGGAGCTATTCCGCCTGGTGGCTGACCTGGGCTCTTAGTACTTGATTTCATCACTGGCCTTTTTTTTTTTTTTAAATAATTATTTTATTTAACTTTATTTATTTTTAATTTGACCAGAGAAGGACAGACCGAGAGAGAGAGGGAAAGTGAGAATCTATCTGCCAAGTCTGGGACTCAAACTGCAGTCGGTCATGTGGGAGTCCAGAGCCCTTAACCACCATGTCACCTGCTGGCCCCTCACTGGCCCCCTCAGTTCCTGTCCTTGAACAACTCCAACAGAACAGATGGCCTGGTAGGGCGGTTTCAGGCTAGACGTGGGCAAAGGGATGTCCTCTGCTCTAAAACCCTAGTCCCTTCTCCCCCTCCGTGGGCTGAGGCTGACATTTTTGTCATGCGCGAGAAGCAGCTTGGGGAAGGAGTGTTCCACAGGCCTGGATCTGACTCATGACCCCACTACTTGCTAGCTGTGTGGCGTTGGACAGATGATGTCACCTGTTTAAGCCTCAATGTTCTCACTTGTAAAATGGGAATGAAAATCCACTTTATGGAGTTGCTGGGCTTTTAAATAAACTGTATAAACCCTGAACACAGTTCCAAACACATAGCACTTAATTTGAGGTTCAGTCCTGAAGGAATAGGACTCAGGAAGGTGGAGCCCTCCCAGAAGAGGAGGAAAAGAAGGTTCTGGGAGAAGAGAGGACAGGAGAGGTGCCCTTGGCTCCTGGGATACAGGACGAAAGGCCTTCTAAGTGAGTGGGTAAGTCTCTTAAGGATCCCCCTGGGCATCTGGGGTCTACTCTGTCCCAGTCAATCTCAATATCAGCTGAGCTCATCATTTTGAAGGCCAAGCTGGGCCTCAGCTATAACTCAATAAAGGCGAAGAGCAGGGACACAGAACCCTTCTGGGACCTGGGACAACTGAGGACTATGCTTCAAGCACCTGGAATCTGGCAGCTGGAGAAGGCTAGGATGGACTCTCTCAGTGGCTCTGAAGGAATGGCAGGGAGTCCTCCCCTTCTGGTTTACTTCATAAACTGCACCTTTTGCAAGATGGACCAGCTGGATTTATTAAAAAAAGATTTATTTATTTAATTTTATTCGTTAAAGAAAGAGGAAGAGAAAAAGAGAAAGCGAGAAAGTAAGTCACCAGGTCTGGGACTTGAACCGTGGTCAGCCATGTGGGAACCCAGTGCCTTAACGACCATGCCACCTGCTGACCCCACTGGCTGAGTTTTGGAGCTCTCTTGCCACCTGAGAGGAGCCCATTACAGGGAATGGATTTATGTGCATCCAGAGGCTGCCCCACGCTGGACAACTGCTCAAAGAACTTGAGGCAGGGGGTCCTGGCTAATGCTCCTGAGCTGCAGGTTGATGTGGCAGATGGTTCCCGTGTTCCCAGCATGGCTTTCTGCTCATCAAATGCCTTAACCAGGTTAGGCAGACTCAGATATCCAGGGGGCCAAGAGACAAGAACGTGTGAGGTGGGCCTGGTGCAGGTCTGTGAAGAACTGCAGAGCGCATGTCCAGTCTGAAGGGGGCAGCGG